AACTAACCAATCACATTCCAATCCATAACCTTTCTTCAGCAAAACTTCTGGAGCAATGTAATCAGGTGTACCAACTGTCGAGTAAGCCTGCATTATCGAATTATGAGATATTAGAAAACCGTGGGCTCCGAGCACTGAAGATCTAGGCCCTTGTTTGAGCCCCATCTTTGGGGAAAAAATGTGTTTTGGAATCGTGATTTTTTTGGAGAATATATCATTAAAAAATAAGAAATTTTTTTCGATTTGGTGTAAAATTATTTTATTAGAAAATGTATGGTTGAAAATGAGATTGTTGAAAAATGGGGCTCAAACAAGGGCCTAGTCTGCAAAACAACACACACGAGAAAATTTTATTCATACTACGGTTCAATGTCAAGAGTGATGGACGGCGTATGGTTTTTTAAATACTAGATAGGTAAACAGCCAATAAGTGTTTTTTTTTTTTTCAAGTTGAAGTATAGATATTTCTCAGTATGTTAGCTGTAAAAAATCATGAATTTCCCAGTCAGATTTCTGTCAAAATAAAATGACACCTACAAGCATCCTCCTATTCTTCTGCCAATGTTGTAATTTTTCTTGTTGAGAACACTTTGGAGCTGTAGAACGTTCATCACCTCTTGAAGTTCCGTTGAAGCTCTCTCCACCAACCGAAAAGTCCTCTTGTAGAGTACTGCAATCTAATGGCTTACACAGGCCAAAATCCGACAGTCTTAAATGTCCATATTTATCAAGTAGTAAGTTGTCAGGCTTAATGTCTCTGTAGCAAATTAAATGTTGAGAACAGAAGTCAGACTAACTGAAGTACCTGAATAAACAGAATCCAGGCAGTAAAACCAGTAATCCACAAACCTGTGTATATAATTATGCTTATGGATAGATTCAATAGCTAAAACTGTCTCTGCTACATAAAATCTTGCCTCATCTTCAGTCAAAATATCCCTTCTCATAAGTAAAGTCATCATATCTCCACCAGGCAAATATTCCATAATGAGATACAAATGTTCTTCATCTTGAAAAGAAAAATACAGTTTGACAATGCAATTACTGTCCACCTCTGCAAGCAGATTCCTTTCGGCTTTCACGTGCTCAACCTAATAGGATCCAGAATCTAAGGACCAGTAATATAGTAAAAGAACCATATTACAACCATTTGAAGACCAATAATCACATACCTGTCCTCTACGAAGCATTTCCGATTTCTTAAGCTTTTTCATTGCGTACACATTACCTATTGTCTTTTCTCTACAAACTCTAACCTGTATATATGCAAGGAGCAAATCATTAGGAATTTAGTTTTAGCTAAAAGAGAGATGAAATTTTCTATCAATCAGGAATTATATGAAGCACTTTACCTCAGGCGGTCCAATTAGTTAGACAGGAATATGTTCACAGTTATATACAAAAATATATAAGATGCCACTTTTTGAGAGTAAAGCTTTACACATTCAATCTCAGTATTCAAAAACTAAACAGTAGAAATCAATTTTTTTTCCCCAATGCAGGCTCCTATTAAGCCAAAACAACAAACTTTCTGGCTTGAGCAGACATTTACAAGTAAATCAACAATACAAAAAAGGCATGAGTAGAACTCTCATGTTAATGAAGGAGCTTTAAGTCTCTTCCTTACTAATAATGTGTCCAACTGTCTGTTGATCAACGTTGTATGACTGAAATCATAAAAAAAACTATAGCATAATGTGAAATTGAAATTGTTTATGATGTCTGTTGACCTCCAAAAATGGTCAACACGAGTCGTTGGGAGACAATACACACGTGGACTGGTTTTGTGTAGTATTTCTACTGTAAATAATTTATGTAGAAGAAGAAGAAGATGAGACAATATATTATGTTTTTTTTTTCTATTTAAGAATCCATCTTCTCAAATGATAGAAGAAGGGGCGTATTTATAGTGTTACACATGAGATGTTGTCCATTGGATGAGGAGCCACGTAATTTCATCTCCTTAACCAAAGCATGTCGTCCTAACCATCATTTTTGACTTCTTAGCCTGTGGTGCATTTAATGTTCTTACACACAGGAGTCATCCTATTGACAAGACAAGATATTTATACTCATTGCAAAGGTCACTTCAATCAGTTCCCAAGATACGTGAGATCCTTTGGGTGTCAAGGACCTCGGTGTCAAGGGGCTCGCAGGAAGACGTCAACCCACTTCGGATGAACGAGATCAAAACCACTTTGGAGAATTCTAGTAAAATGACCTCGAAGTTCAGTGCAACAACCTCGGCCATTGACCACTTACACGGTGCTTTGATTTAGGGCCTCAGCCACTTACTCAGGGCTTCAACTTAAGGACCTCTTGAGCCTAGGTTTGAAGCGTGGACCTCTTCTTGAGCTTTGATGGACATCCTTGAAGGCTCGTCGGTAGGCACTTCGGCCATCTTTGAAGACACCTCGGCTTGGGCTTTGTAAGCACCTCGACTGAGCTTTGGAGGCACCTTAGTTGACCCCCTAAGTCTCAACTCATCATGCATTCCACGTGTATTATTGTGGTGCCTCCGCGTGGCATTTCATATTCGACCAACAACAATGTCTACCTCATCACCAATTCTACAGAAAAATTTGGTTATCTCTTTCTCCACACTATAAAGGTAACTTTACTGTTTGATTTTCATACATTTCTGGAGGGCATGCAAAATTTGCACAAGTATTATCAAATAACAAATGGATAATTTCTAGTTACGCAAAGAAAGATGTATGTAATATATTTCGGTTCCATTTTTTCAAAACTTATTTTGAACCACACATTCTCTCATAAAATAATTTTACATGTAAACCAAAAAAAATTTCCTTAACTTTTTACCACACATTCTTTAAAAAATTACTATTCCAAAGCACAAAATTACTATTCCAAAGCACATTCTATCCAAAATTCATTAAAATGGAGACCAAACATGAGCAAATCAGGAAAAGCATCTCAACCCCAAAAACCTTCCCTAACAATCATGAAATTGACGTAAATCTATATATTTGAGTCAAGGTTGCCACTGTAATCAGCTGTATCCCAAGCCATAATCCGAGAAGGAAATATGACCCTGTATTACTCATGCCAAATATATAACCTGATAAACAAGTATAAAACCAACATTTTATTTGTTTTATACAGTAACATAGTAATCAGGAAACAGTAAACCCTTTACGAACCACGAATTGGTAAACTCATACTAAAATGTAGTAAAGTAGCTTTGGACTTCAAAATATTTTTGTAGCTTCCTTACCTTCAATATTTACTAGTAAAATGTTTTAATTTAAACAATAACCATCTGCATGAAGACTGAAGCCTCTTTTTCTTTTATTAACAATTCAAATCACTAAAGTTCTTGCTAAAATCTAGTGGCCGTCAAAACAGTAGTAAGGTTCATACAAAAACAAGTGATTGTGACTTCTGATGAGGAACTGCATATTCTTAGGGACTCTGAATGTCTCAACATATAACCAAGTAGAGAATTATTGACCATCCCAATCTATTTTTCTGAGAGATTGTCCCCGGGCTGAGAAGTGTCACATGAACCGAAAAGTTGAAAATATAAAACAAGTTCTGTAACCTTAATGCAAATTGATTCAGCAATTCACAATCCGTGTGCAGGTTAGGGGCCATGGGACAGCTTCAGAAAGTTCAATATCGTTCTTTATTTTAAATGCACTTGGTTACAAAATTACTCATGCCTCAATTGAATAAGGACCCATGATCTGACATTTCCCTCATGCCTAACAGATTATGAAGGGTTATGAGAGAAGATCAATTATGCTTCTTTGCCTCACCAAGATAATCACTCCCGTTTGGTAAAGGGCAAAAGACCAAGACTCCTTTACTGTCTTTATATACTTATATTCTTAGCAACAATCTATATAGTTAATTCACCGAAGCGACAGTGAAAAAGCCAAAAGGTAGATAAAATTGCACCATCACAAATTGCAGTACAGATATGAGTAACAAATTGTGAAACTAATTATTATGTGAAGGAAATCAGAACAGACATATTTTCATCGATGAACTTTACCTCTCCAAAAGCACCCTTCCCGATCATTGTCAGTAACTCAAAATCATCAACACCCATTTTGTGCCTCTGAAGACGCATATATTCAGTTTCCTTCTTCTCTAAAAATTTTAATAGGTTACTTTGATCCTCCTCTGATACATCAGCATCAGCCAGCTTCTGTTCAAGTAAGTTTCGCCTGTTTGAGACAATACAAGACTGAAGTTATAATGTCACAAAGCATCTAAAACTCCAAAAGAGAAGGTTTACTGTGCAATAAACTTAGTATACAGATAAGAAAAAAATTAATGAAAGGCAAAAATTCATGTTTCCTGTTTCTAGTTAAAATGTTTCCCAGAGTAACAAATGAAAAAAACACTTGCGAGGAGAAGTACATCGATCTCAACCTTCAAACCCGTTGCAACTTGTGGTATCTGCTCATGGGTGCTAATGAACATGGACCTTGTATATCAGACCTAAATTTTAATACCATTTGCCCCCAGGTGCTCATTATGTAACTGTTCAAATGCTATAATTACTGGCATACTGCTTTTGATATTAGTAATCAGAAATATAAGTGACTAAATATAAGTGGCTAATGAACTTGGACCTTGCATATCAGACCTAAATTTTAATACCATTTGCCTCCAGGTGTTCTTTATGTAACTGTTCATATACTTTATTTCCTGGCATACTGCTTTTGAGTGTATTAGTAATCAGAATATAAGTGCCTAAATTAACAAACATTAGATAGGCACAAGTTTAAGCCTTTCCATTGATATGCAAGTGCTAATGATACCAACCTGTATGGATAAGTTGTGAAAGACTAATGAATACAAAAATAAGAAGCATGAATGTTCAGGTCATGTGCCATACCGCTCCTTCCTCTCCTGCAGATTCTTCATCTGCGTCTTGTAATGATTTTCTATGAACTGCTTTGCTGCTGCAGCTCTCTGTTTAGTGAGATTCGAGGCTTCCTCAGAAGAGAGCGGGTTTGAATCTTCTCTTCCACTTCCCATTGAACCCTTCTTACTTGACGACCTCAAGCGATCCTGTGGTTGAAACTTCTGGAACCAACTCCTCGCTGAATCCATTAACTTCTTTCTCTCTGGTACAGCCTCCTAAACAAGACTCATTTTAAGTTGACACGATTCATTTCAGAACCTTCCAATAACAAAAACATAACTTTAGTTCAGTATATCTAGTAAGGAACAATGTATAAAATACCAATAATCAACATATACTTGTCCAAAAGTCAAACTCTATCAATAACAAGAGATCGTATCATATACATATTCAGGAAATTTGGAGAGCTATAAAACTAATTATTGTTGGCTTTTACAAAAATGCAAAACGAAGTTGGATTTGGTAAAGATCGAAGACCCATATTTTTCTAATAAGTGGAGCAACTTCAGAAAAATGCCATTGAAATCAATACTAAAAACTTTACAAAATAGAACAAACCAAAATCCGAAAGGAGCCCAAAAACAGCCAAAAGAAGACGTATATGATGATGATCATGGCAATACATCGAATTCCGATAAAGATTAAAATAATAAACAAAATTAAACATCCCTGACACAAACCATGAATGTTTAACGAATCAAATTCCAGAAAATTTCGGACTCACGCTGTATCATCAAATTTACAGTATATAATTCGTGAACTTTTAATGCAGCGGAGAATACGGTTCAATAAAAATGGAGAAAAGGAGTATCTGAAAAGGCAAAGCAATAGGCAGAATGAACGGCCTACCGCCAAATCTTGGTGTCGGATAGAGAGAAACACTGTCCGTGAAATGCAGCAGCTAATGTGACGTTATAAATATTATTATGCGTAAATATATATTTATATATATATATATATAAAGTGAGAAAGAGTGTGTGTTAATCCGCCATTTTCGAAGGTTGGAATTGGTGTGGAAGCTATGGTGACTTTTGCATGATCCCACTACTTGGTTGTCTTGGACTCTTATTAGTAACTATGTGAATTTGTTGAAACTAAAATTATTGAATTAAAATTTACTTAAAGTTATTTAATTGAATTAAAAATTGCTTCTACCTGGTTTTTATTTAGTAGATTTTGATAAAAAAATTGATGAAATTTGTAATTGAAAAATTGTGAATTCATATATTATAAAAATTAGGATTTTACTACATGTTCATCAAAATTTACATAATAGATTATATAGTGGCACATGACAATTTATCATTTGTCAGTTTAAAATATAAGCAATTTTTTTATATAATCTTTTTCATCCATATCATATTATGGCCCTGTTTGAGCCCTATTATTTTCTCATTAAAATGAAAAATATGACCGTTATACATCACATCAAGCTACCATATTTGACTTTTTATCTCTTGTGTGAAGTCCATAATGATTATATTTTTCATTCTCATTTTTATAATAATGTGGCTCAAATAGGGACTAAGTAGATTTTTTATGTACATGTAAAGTTGATCCTACCCGTGATAGAAGAATTCAAAAATAATGGTTGAAATAATGAAATAACGATCAAAAAATTGATTTTAATTGGATTAAGAGCTATACCTAACAAGCTCTAATTGTTAAATTTGACTTAAATTTTAATCAAATTTTTTAACCATGCCAAACAAGGGTTCTTTCTTATCTTTCATTCTAATTCCATTATATCTCAAGATTCTCAACATTTATATATTAATAACATTTTTCATGACATCTTTATCTTCAACTTTTCTTTAATAAGCATAATTTGTCTCCTATTACAATTTACATCGTGAAAAGTATGAAATAAAAAGATTCATTGGTATCTTATCTTGTTTTTTCATCGCGATCTCAAACATTCGTTTCAACAATATATTCATAATCAATACTACTATTTCTCGTATTATTACTTTCTACAAATCGTAATTGATACAAAACGTCCCATATCATTTATTTGTTTTGCACAAATCTTCTAACCTTTTAATTTGATGCAATTCATACTCAGATTAAACATTGCCAAAATCGTCCCTACCGTTTATATCTTTTATTAAAGTCTTGTAGAATGACAAATTAACTCTTCTCTTTAATAAGCAAAAGGAGAAGAAGAAAGTAAAGAAGTAATTACAGACATGGTTCTTGAATTTGTTCAAAAAATACAAATGAGTCCCACTTGAAACAGTTACAATAAATAAATAAATAGAGAAAATAAAAAAAAATCATTTCATCTTTAATCAACCCAACATTTCCCTGTTCAACCCCTCCCACTACCACCCAAAAATTATGTTATTTCTCTATCAAATGTTAAAGTTTGAACAAAACCGGGCCTATCACCCGTGCCCACTTGCTAATGTTTAAGAAAAGCAAAGAAACCTGGGCAGGGTAACGGCTAAGCTAAGAATTTGAAGTTGTAGCTCATTCAAAGGAAAGAGTGAGATGTGTTTGGACAAAATTACCCTTCAAAAGAGCAGTTTGAAAATGATGGTTTCAAGAAAGAAACAAATGGCACCAATTACGAGGAGACATATATTTCACATGAATAAATAAATATGTTACAGATCCTAATCTCTCTGATGGAGATGGAGGTGGGGAGGAGGTTACGGCCGCTAATGAGTCGACTCGTTCTTCTTCTATTTGTTTTCTTCGCAACATCGTCTTCTGCTCAGCACAGAGCAGTGACAGCACCAGGGTTTCTTTACACCAGAACAAGAGGAAGATGCACACCTCAGTAACTCTCTCTATCTGTCTATGTATATCTCACTGAGACGTTCGAGTTAACTCAGTGACTAACAATTCTGATTTAATGGTAGGTACTGGAGCAGCAGGACAGAATCATGGCCGAAGATGGTGCCTCAGATGTCGACGGTGTCCAAAGTGTTCGGTTCACGGGCGTTCGAACGATACAGATACGATCTGACGCTGCTGGAGGCTGCGGGGAGGAATGACGACGGAGATAATGTATTTGCGTGGCTGGTGAAAGAGTCCACGGCGGCGCTGCTAAATTCATACGCCAGAAAAGGGTATCCCTACGCGGCGTGGGAAGTCAAGACTTTGGTTATACAAGCTTTGGTTTCAAAAGAGGCTGCTTCCCTTCAAGCCCACCAGTTTTCTGAGGCCAATCAGAATTGCACTGGCTACTAGTTTAGTTTAGTTGCTAAAGATTTATTACTAAATTTGAAATTGAACATGATGCTATGTAACCCATCGTTTGCTTATAATTACTAACCAAAATTAATAAGTTTCTGTCTTAATTTTTAGTTTATTAATTGTTTGTAATTTGTGAATTTGACTTGATATGCAAGTGGTTTGAGAGCTGAACTTATTATATATTATTCCTAGAAAAGTTCGACCATTTAATGAACATCTCAATACACTTGTTCACTCCAAAACAAGTGGGATCTTTCGGTCAGATTGCGTGGGAGCTGGTCGGGCAAAGAAGAGTCTAGTCCAGTCTGAATTCAGGCACGATCAGCCCATCTGTTGCAATGTCTGAGAATGGTCATTACACTGATTAAACCAGTCTAATCATCCCTCATTTGTACAAATTGTATATACATGCAAGCGTAAAGTGTAAATGCTTTCACAAATGCTTTCACAAATCACACTTAGCCCATGTTTGGCCTGTTAAGGGAATATAATCCCACATCGGTAAAATACCGAAATAATGATCAATATATAAAGGATTGGGACACTCCTCTTAACAAGGTTGACCTTATTGAGATGGACCCCAAGTCTTAACATGGTATCAGAGTCCATTAAGCTCCAACAAGCGATTCGATCCGATTAAGTCTCTAAAAATGAGCACACGGATTTCAAGATTGGTCTGCTCAAACGAGCCACCATCTTGCTAAGACTTGGGGTCCATCTTAATAAGGTCAACCTTGTTAAGAGGAGTGTCCCAATTCTTTATATATTGGTCATTATTTCGGTATTTTACCGATGTGGGATTATATTCCCTTAATATGCCCCCGCAAGATGGTGGCTCGTTTGAGCAGACCAATCTTGAAATCCGTGTGCTCATTTTTAGAGACTTAATCGGATCGAATCGCTCGTTGGAGCTTAATGGGCTCTGATACCATGTTAAGATTTGGGGTCCGTCTTAATAAGGTCAACCTTGTTAAGAGGAGTGTCCCAATATCTTTTTTAAGTTGGTCAATATTTCGGTATTTTACCGATGTGGGATTATATTCCCTTAACATGTTAAAGTTTGGGGTCCATCTCAATAAGGTCAACCTTATTAAGAGGAGTGTCCCAATCCTTTATATATTGGTCATTATTTCGGTATTTTACCGATGTGGGATTATATTCCCTTGACATGCCCCCGCAAGATGGTGGCTCGTTTGAGCAGACCAATCTTGAAATCCGTGTGCTCATTTTTAGAGACTTAATCGGATCGAATCGCTCGTTAGAGCTTAATGGGCTCTGATACCATGTTAAGACTTGGGGTCCATCTCAATAAGGTCAACCTTATTAAGAGGAGTGTCCCAATCCTTTATATATTGGTCATTATTTCGGTATTTTACCGATGTGGGATTATATTCCCTTAACATGGCCTCCATTAATTTTTATTTTATTATATTTCATTCTTCTCTATTCTATTTTTAACCACACAATATTCCATAAAATAATATTTTACGTAAATAAAAAAATTTTCCTTCTTTTTCAACCACTTATTTTTAAAAAAAATACTATTTTCACATATTAATTTTTCTACGTAATGGGGGCCAAACAGGTGCTTAATGTTTCAAGTTTCCAAGTATTGTCTCAGAATTTTTATCAGGCCATTGATGAAACCCACAAAATCTATTTCTAAGCTTCAATGAAGAAAATCCTTCATTGGATCATCCTGGTGTACCCTCTTCATTCGACATGCCTCTGTATCCTCAGGTATAATCTACAAGACAAAGGGCATTGAGAATCACCGAAAGAGCGCATAACTCACGGCAAGTGGACATAATAGAATATAGACATACCTCGTTGTTCCACTTGTACTAGCGTTTTCTTTCATCCTTCTCTTCTGTCCTCTTATCATCCTCTTAAGCATAGCAAACAGACACAACTCATAAAAATCATTTTATATCATTTCAATATTCAAGAAACCTTTATCTATTGGAACCCCTCTTTTTAGACTATGAGATTTGGATTCCCAACCCTCAAAGTACATAGAAGGAAAAGGGAAGTATAAGTCTGTTCTAACCCACCATAGTGGTGTTTCTTGTAGAGTAAATAAATGGTGCATTTTGCTTCATAGAAATCTAATTTACAGTTGAGGCGTTTAATGAGACCAAAATATTTACACCAGAAAGGATAGGAAGAGAGGTCGCAGAAAGAAATTAGATTAGGGAATTTTACCTTGTTAAGTGCTTCTGCAAAGTTTTTCTCATCCAAAACAAAATCACCAGGTACTTCATAACCCCAACTAGCAAGCTTTTTCTCCTCGGCCAATGTAGGTGTTTCTAAAATTTGAACATAATTTCAGAGCCAAGCCATGTTGATATGTTACTTGCTGGTTAACGTGAAAGGATGCAAATGCATAACACAGATATGTACACTGTCGCATTTAATTTGCTGTAAAATAGTTAACATAAAAGGATGCATATGAACTACATAGATACGATGCATGACTCCAAGCCAGAGGATATAAAACCCTCAGTAAAATGATATTACCGAGTCACATGCAGGATCTTCTACCTACCTTCATTATACGATTTATCAATTCTCCTATTAATCTTAAGAATAAGTGTAAAGCTTTCATTTCATATGAAAAACGATGGTCCTCATATTATCTTATGCTAAGTAACTTTTATTATTTACTCATCTTTTCTTTTTTATTTCTTCAATTGTGATGAATAATCAGCATGGAGCTTTGTACATCCCCATTAACCTCTAGTCTTCTCATGGGTTGCAAACTTGCAATGTTTTAACAATTTTCAAGCTCTTATTCAATTACTCTATGCTAGTAATGATCAATATCCGTATCAAAAATGGAAAATACTAACCTTCAGTGATCTCTTTGCGAGCTATATTAGCCTTCATTAGATCTACTGCAGCTTCGTTACCAGCCGCAACAGTGCAATAGCTGTTTCTTACTATCTGTTGGCAGCATTTGTAACCCCATTGATGATCCTTCCACCAGAAACCCCAAACAATCATGCGATTGTTGATGTAAATATCTTCTTCATACTTGCTATTTGGGTGGGATGTCTCCTAAATATATAAAACCCGACCAAGTTAGACCATACGCCCAAGGATTCTATCAAGTACAACCAGTAGAAGGCAAATTATATTTATTCTATTAAGTTGAACACCAGAATTTCATCCCACAAAGCAAGAGCGATTGCATATCTATACACTCAAATGAAGCTAATTTAGATCCAAAAAAGGTTGAACAACGTTAAGATCAGTGCCAACGACATGGCATCATATGATTTTTCTAAAAAATATGACACGGACACGTTAATTTAAAATCATTATTTTACATTAATATTTATATTTATATCTATATTTTATTTTTTCCCACGAAACGCATGCAATACCAAACACTTCCCATGGAATATTATAAAGTATCCGTCAAGTGCGAGAAATTTTAAAAATAGGAAAAAGCATGTGTCTTGGTAGACTTATGTAATGTCCAAGAAGAATCAATGTCCAGCACGACACGATATGTGTTTGACACACCACCCTAGTAGGAGTAACCATGCTTCATGGCATCAGTGACTAAACAACTTCAGCTTATTTTCCCTATAAAGAGCACATGAGAAAATAATTCAAGAAGACAAGGCAACGCTTCAGAGACTTGTTAGCTGCAAATATAAAGAAACAATAAAACTGGCAGTTTTTAGCTTTATAAAGATTGGAGAAGCACATTAAATCCATACCTGGCCTTTTATGATTCTAATTGCACGATCATATTCAACTTTTCTTTCACTTTGACCCAGTAAAAGTTCCCTTGAAAGTGTTTCATCAGTAGTTGCATTACCATACTTCTCCATTATCGTCTCTTTAGTTTGAGACTTCAATTTTTCCTTATTGATCTTGAAACTTTTATAAAGCAATTCTGCTTGTGATGGAGCTGCTTGCACATGGACATCTTGACCTTTGTCAAATACTTCCCAAGCATGAATGTTAAGCTGTTTAAACTCCAATGCTTGACCACTCACTCTATTGCAATTATCTCCCTAAGATTTTGACAAACCAGATATCAAAACGACATGATGCACAATTATAGCAACAGAAGAACAGTAAAATCCACATCATTCTTTTATTAACTTTACTTAAAGCACTTCTCATCTTGATCCATATCTGGAAGATGATCTTCATGCATAGAACGATTTTTGGGGTCATAGTGGCTAGAATTAACATCAAGATTGAGAAGATATTTTGCAGTATCCTCTTGAATACGCAAGTTCCTAATTAAAAAAGCATGTAGAATAGCAATTTACCACCCTATCCAGAAGAATACAGCGTACTTCCATGAACCCCCGTGACCCGTCCACCCCAAAATGCTTGCAGAAATTATTTCTCACATGCAGAAAGTGAACAGTAAAGAACAATATACACGTACCTAACAGTTCCCATGCTACCGCCACCTGTAGTGCGTACACTCTTCTCAACCATTGCAAATGCCATCTGCTTGCTCTCATCAACTTTCGGATCATCCTCATTATCTTCATCATCACTAACTCCACCTTCTTCATTTTTATTACTCTTTTTTCCTCCAACTTTTTAAGATGTTGCTCTTTCAAATATTTCCTTCTTGCCTCATCTCTGGCTTCGTACCTTTCAGTCACATGTTTATAAGAAGCCGCATCATAACCATTCCAACGATCTTGTTTACCCTCATAATCCAGCTCGAAGGTCTTTATCTTTTCATCTGGGGCAATACTTTCTCCTGTCCACTTAGCTCCCAATTGTCGGGGTCTTTCCATGCATGTTTTCTTATCATGTGTCATTGCTCCACAACTATAGCAACACGAGTAGTTTAGTCTTAAATATTTCAAAGAGAAATCATATTTAAGTTAGAATATAAAAAAAATTATATTTTTGTTTAAGTTATGCAGACGGTTATATTTTACCGCAATTGGTATAAGAATAATAAGCCCAAGTCTCCCTCTCCCCCCCTCCATCCTATTAATTTTTAGGATCATACTATGAGTACAAAATGGGATACAAAAAGGGTTACAAAATCAACAAGTGGCGGCTGTCGATTGGAGGGGCGGCTGGCCCCACAGCTGCCCTTCCAATAGGGGGTCGCCACTTGTTGATT